GACACATTTACTTTTAAGGAAACTTTTACCATTTTTTCTTGCCCTTAATCATAGCTTTTATTGCAATTGCAGTAATTCAACAGATGTACGTGCCAAAGGTAATATGTGTATTTTTAATGAGTCGACACAAACTTCCTGGAGAGGAGAAACAAATTCATTTTCAGAACATTTTTGAATCATATTTAATAGCTATTAAAAGGACAGAGGAGTCGATCAGAACAACATTTATGACAGTTTCATATGCTACACTAGTTTACAGATGAGTAGTTACATACAACAGGATTTAAATAGGCCAGATTGCTGAGCTAAATATATTTTTGCTGAACTGATGACCATGCTATGATCCTTCTTTCTTCCCTGTTTGTGAACCTACAAAAAAGACCTATGGGTTTGATCCTGTAAAACCGAACTTGCTCGGGTAGCGGTAACCTATGCGTGTAGTTCCTTTGAGGTCAATGGGCCACATAGTGCCATCACATGCATCCGACGAAGTGGGTATTCATCCACAAAAGCTCATGCTCCAATACGTCTGTTAGTCTATAAGGTGCCACAGGACTCTTTGCTGCTTTTATAGTGCCATCAGTTTCCAAACAGTACTCTTTGCTGAAATCAATGGGGAATTCTGCTTAAAAACGGATGGCATGATGCGGCCCAATGAATGGTCACATGAGTAAGACCCACTTACATAAGGGTTTGCAAGACTGGCTTCAGGGCTTCAGACCCGCCCCTGGTTTAACTCAATAAAGTGAATGGAGCGACACCAATTTTACACCAGCTGAGGAGCATGTCTTAAAGGTATAAGGTGGACATCCTTGGCTGCTTATATTTGAATCGTCTCTTTGCCTGGGAAGATGTTAGATAAATTAAAGCAACTAGTGCATTTAGCACGATGTAAACTACTATAATATAGAGATGTTCGCATCCTAGAATTGAGTTCTTGCCACGGCTGGGGTACTGAGGAAAGGAACACAAAAACATACTGTGATCTTATATTTACTTCCTAAGTTGATGATAACTCCTGTAAAAGATGACATGCCCCTTACTTAGAGAACAATGTTTAGTAACTCTGAGCCTAATTCTGTGAGGTTCCAAGTACTCCCAGTCCCCTATAACTTGATTGACTTAACTGCTTACTTGGAACTATATATTAGAATTTGTTGTTGAAGACAATGCATTTGGAACTGTCCAGAACAGACAACAAAGACACTCCCTGTCCAGACACTTTATGATCTAAGGCCTTGATCCTGCGAATGAGGATGGAGTGCAGACTCTTCCACCTGCGCAGAGTTGCACTGAAGTCAGTGTGACTGGGTCTACCCTGGCACAGCTCGTTGCAGCACTGGGGTCTAAACAATCTCTTAGAAAGCAGGACTCACTGGAAAGTCTAGCTGTCAGGTAAGAATGTCTCTAAAAGATTACTATAACAAAATCAAAATTCACTTCTTTTGAGATGGAAGTGTTGAGAGTCTCTTGGTTAGGCTAAAAGGGGTAAAAAGCAAGGGTGATGTCATGCTAGAAGTCTACTACAGGCCACCTAACCAGGTGGAGGAGGTGGATGAGGCATTTTTTAAACAACTAACAAAATCATCCAAAGCCCAAGATCTGGTGGTGATGGGGGACTTCAACTATCCAGATATATGTTGGGAAAATAACACAGCGGGGCACAGACTATCCAATAAGTTCTTGGACTGCATTGCAGACAGCTTTTTATTTCAGAAGTATGCGTGAAAAAGCTACTAGGGGGGAAGCTATTCTAGATTTGATTTTAACAAATAGGGAGGAACTCGTTGAGAATTTGAAAGTAGAAGGTAGCTTGGGTGAAAGTGATCATGAAATCACAGAGTTCACAATTCTAAGGAAGGGTAGAAGGGAGTACAGCAAAATAGAGACAATGGATTTCAGGAAGGCGGATTTTGGTAAGCTCTGAGAGCTGATAGGTAAGGTCCCATAGGAATCAAGACTGAGGGGAAAAATGACTGAGGAGAGTTGGCAGTTTTTCAAAGGGACACTATTGAGGGCCCAAAAGCAAGCTATTCTGCTGGGTAGGAAAGATAGAAAATGTGGAAAAAGACCACCTTGGCTTAACCACGAGATCTTGCATGATCTAAAAAATAAAAAGGAGTCATATAAAAAATGGAAACTAGGACAAATTACAAAGGATGAATATAGGCAAACAGCACAGGAATGCAGGGGCAAGATTAGAAAGGCAAAGGCACCAAATGAGCTCAAACTATCTATGGGAATAAAGGGAAACAAGAAGACTTTTTATCAATACATTTGAAGCAAGAGGAAGACCAAAGACAGGGTAGGCCCACTGCTCAGTGAGGAGGGAGAAACAGTAACAGGAAACTTGGAAATGGCAGAGATGCTTAATGACTTCTTTGTTTCAGTCTTCACCGAGAAGTCTGAAGAAATGCCTAACATAGTGAATGCTAAAGGGAAGGGGGTAGGTTTAGAAGAGAAAATAAAAAAAAGAACAAGTTCAAAATCTCTTAGAAAAGTTAGATGCCTGCAAGTCACCAGGGCCTGATGAAATGTATCCTAGAATACTCAAGGAGCTAACACAGGAGGTATCTGAGCCTCTAGCTATTATCTTTGGAAAATCATGGGAGACAGGAGAGATTCCAGAAAATTTGAAAAGGACAAACATAGTGCCCATCTATAAAAAGGGAAATAAAAACAACCCAGGAAACTACAGACCAGTTAGTTTAACTTCCGTGCCAGGGAAGATAATGGAACAAGTAATTAAGGAAATCATCTGCAAACACTTGGAAGGTGGTAAGGTGATAGGGAATAGCCAGCATGGATTTGTAAAGAACAAATCATGTCAAACTAATCTGATATCTTTCTTTGATAGGATAACGAGTCTTGTGGATAAGGGAGAAGCGGTGGATGTGGTATACCTAACTTTAGTAAGGCATTTGATATGGTCTCACATTATATTCTTATCAATAAACTAGGCAAATACAACTTAGATGGGGCTACTATAAGGTGGGTGCATAACTGGCTGGATAACCGTACTCAGAGAGTAGTTATTAATGGTTCCCAATCCTGCTGGAAAAGCATAACAAGTGGGGTTCTGCAGGGGTCTGTTTTGGGACGGGCTCTGTTCAATATCTTCATCAATGACTTAGATATTGGCATAGAAAGTACGCTTATTAAGTTTGCAGATGATACCAAACTGGGAGGGACAGGGTCAACATTCAAAATGATCTGGGCAAATTGGAGAAATGGTCTGAGGTAAACAGGATGAAGTTTAATAAAGACAAATGCAAAGTGCTCCACTTAGGAAGGAACAATCAGTTTCACACATACAGAATGGGAAGAGACTGTTTAGGAAGGAGTATGGCAGAAAGGGATGTAGGGGTTATAGTGGACCACATGCTAAATATGAGTCAACAGTATGATGCTGTTGCAAAAAAAGCAAACGTGATTTTGGGATGCATTAACAGGTGTGTTGTGAGCAAGACACGAGAAGTCATTCTTCCGCTCTACTCTGCGATGGTTAGGTCTCAACTGGAGTATTGTGTCCAGTTCTGGGCACCGCATTTCAAGAAAGATGTGGAGAAATTGGAGAGGGTCCAGAGAAGAGCAACAAGAATGATTAAAGGTCTAGAGAACTTGACCTATGAAGGAAGGCTGAAAGAATTGGGTTTGTTTAGTTTGGAAAAGAGAAGACTGAGAGGGGACATGATAGCAGTTTTCAGATATCTAAAAGGGTGTCATAAGGAGGTGGGAGAAAAGTTGTTCATCTTAGCCTCTAAGGATAGAACAAGAAGCAATGGATTTAAACTGCAGCAAGGGAGGTTTAGGTTGGACATTAGAAAAAAGTTCCTAATTGTCAGGGTGGTTAAACATTGGAATAAATTGCCTAGGGACGTTGTGGAATCTCCATCTCTGGAGATATTTAAGAGTAGGTTAGATAAATGTCTATCAGGGATGGTCTAGACAGTATTTGGTCCTGCCATGAGGGCAGGGGACTGGACTTGATGACCTCTCGAGGTCCCTTCCAGTCCTTGAGTCTATGAATCTATGAATCACCGCATGTCAGTTTCTATATCAAAGTGTTTTCAAGTGTTAATTTATTGAAATAATGTGTAAAACACCACAATATGCTTTGATTTTCATTTTGGAATGCTCAGCAGAATTTGGGTGAATAATTCCCTACCTGAAAGCTGCTTTTGTCCATAGAAGATGTACAAAGTTTATATATGCATTGTATTTTATTTTACAGTACGCCACAACATATGAAGAATTTTGATTTTCTGCCTTTCTTTGGAGAATTTTAAAATTCATATGTGTAAAGCATTAATGAAATTCCTCATGGGTGTAAAGTTAGTCGTGTGTGCAAACGTCAGCAGGATTTTCTTTTCTGCATTTAATAGCATCCTGCTAAGGACTTTGTAATGTTAATTACAGCCAGAAAGAAAAAAATTGACTATAACAAACATCAGTGTCAAATGTCCAAATTTTCATTGTCCAAACTGCGTGAAGTGAAAAAGGTCAACAAAAACTCCAAAGGTGTAAAGTAAATTATACTTTAAAATGCATTCTTTTTAATAATTTAAGGTGTTAATAGTACAGGTAAAGATTTTCTTTTTCAATAGATTTTTGGGAAAATATAATTTTTAACCTAATGGTCTCCGTTTAAGAAAAGAAATTTTCAAGACATCCAACCACTTCATTCACTCCCTGGTTCTGATAAGGTTCTTAAAACTCCAAATATTGTGGATCATTTTATGGAAATATTCAGAGCACTATTTTACGACCAGGTTCAAATTTCGCTGTATCCTTTCCAGAATTCTTAACTTGAGAAGAGAAAAGGACTTCAGGACACATACAAATCCTGCCTCTCTTTAAAATTTGTTCAGAGATTTGTTCCTGTTTTAACATCGAGTTCATTTTTAAAGACTCATGCCCTATACAGCATGCTAGGTCACTCGTTTGTTGAAGCGGTAGGATAAAAAGTAGATATAGTAAAAAAAATATATTCTGCTCACCAACACAATCCACACTGAAGAGATTTAGGGAGGTAACTATTGAAGCTTCATCAGGATATTTCAATCCTCGCAGCACAAATTGCACCATGGAAGTTTTGACTCTTTCCGGGAGAAATGACAGCAGGTAGACTGGCATGTACAGAATGTACCGAAGCTTGCACAGCACAGGTGTCAGGAGCTTGCCTTGCGGGGACTGAGCCATGCGTTCTATTGTTGGAAACAGCAGCACAGAGCGGAGAACCTGTACAGCCATGAGAAAGAGACTGTCAGGAAAGTCCTCTAGCACCGTATCAAATTCTGGAAGAGAGATTTTTTTTTTAAATGAGGCTCCTTTTTAAGTGAAATGAAGTTTGTCAGATGCACTATTAACTTGCAAAGATATTTATGGGCTACATGGAACGCCAGTTTTTTTGGAGGGAGCAAATAAGGGCCTGATTCTGCAAGATACTGGGAGGCCTCAACTCCCATTGACTTTAGTGGGAGTTGGAGGTGCTCAGCATGGTGCCAGACTGGGCTCCAAGTACAATTTAGAAGCAAGTGCCCAATGCTTTGAACATAATCAATTGTTACATAGAGATGACGGTGATACCACAAGAGGGCAGTACACAGGAAAAGTCATTTTTTTGTGTCTATGCAGGTTTTTTATTCTAATGATTTTATCTGATTGTTTCCTGCAGGAGAAAACCGATTTTTCAAAATCATAGCTATCACATCATGGTCTTTTCAGTGGGTAGTGCAACTACAGAAAGGTTGATCAAACCATAGTAAAGTGGGGGTATAACTACAGTTAAAACAAGGTTATTATCGTTATTTATTAGTATTACCAATAAAGAGCACCTAAGAGCCATGGTCATGGACTGGGACTCCACTGTGCTAGGACATAACACATTTACTGGGGCTAGTCTAATGTTGCATAATACAGCCCATAATATTGTACTATAACATATGAATCTTTAAGCTGCATGGTGATTTTAGCTCATAAGGACTGAAAACACTCTGATCTCAGACTAAAAAGAAAAATAATATGAACCAACCATTAAGAGGAAACATTTAACTGATGCCTATTTTTAATTTCTATTTTATTGAAGAGATTGTATAAATATTCTTAGAGAATATATTATAGGAATGTGGGATGTTACTCCCTTTTCAAGTACCTTGGACTATCACACAAGCTTTCGTTTAGGAAACGCCTGTAAAGATACACAACTGCAATAGCTGGTAGTAGTATGAAGGAGGCAGACTAAGCCAAAGATATTACGGACGTTGGAGTGCTAGGTAATTATGGGAGACTTGTTGTGTTTCACAACGTTCTCTGCATAAATGCAGAACAGGCAAGCAGTTACCTCTGCCCAGTTATCAGACTGTCCAGATTTCCAAGGATTCTTTTAATTATTCCACATATCGTACGATTTAGGCTGGGATTTTGTTTTTAAATTAATGATCTTCCCAGTCTATTAGACCTAGATCCTGCAAACTGCTCTGCTAGCCTACGTGGAGCCCCACTGATTTCAGTTATGGTTTGATGGCCCAGCCCTGCAGAGTAACTTGCAGGATCAGGGCCTTATAGGGTAACAAAAGAAATATGGAAAATGCCAATAATAGATCACAATATATTTTCTATACTATATTTAAGATAGGACTTTAAAAGGGTTATTTATGTCCAAGGCACAAACATTTTAAGAACTCCCTACTGTCTTCCAGCTGAGACTACCTTGATTTCAGACAAAGAAAAATATACTCTCAGTGAAAATCAATCCTGGGCCTCTTTTTATTAAAGGCAACCAACAGCTGGCGTATAGGAATGCAACTTGTACTAAATTATGTGGTAGTTTTGTGATATTTCAGCTAGGCGCTGAACTCAAACTCTTGTGATCTAAAGCAGATTTGACCCATGTTCTCAGCCACACATTAATCCTATGACATTACAGTTTATAGATACAGGATTAGCTGCTTTGAGAGAAGTTGCTAAAGCTTAGAGGCAAGAGATGGAAAAACCTAGAAAGTAGTTATGTCCCTTCCTCTCCTGTACTGTGCTGATATTGATATAATTTTTTAAAAAAAATTGTACTGTATCAAGTTTAAAAGGTGGAGCTAAGAGGGATTTAAGGGCAAATTTCTTTTTCTTTTTGTGTGTGTTCTGCACATAATACAAAGAGAGCTTTAAAATATTTGTATTTCTCAACCACTCATCAACTGTTTAGCTCTCTGCCAGCATCCAGAGTCCCTGGTTTGTTTGAAGACACAGTTTAATTTTAACTTACTTACAGATAACATGAGGATAAAACTGACAAAATATAAATGATTATTTAAACTCTTATTGTGTTGATACAAATATTCATAGGAGAAATATGTTGCTTCTGTTCCATGCAGAATCTGCATTGGAGTATACATTTACCTTTATTTTGAATGTACACTTACTGCAACTAATCAGAATGCAAATATCTAACCTCTACTGCACTTATATTTTATTAATATTTTGAAGCGTCAAGAACACATCTCACACTATATACAGAATACACCATTTACACTAGTAGAATCCACTTAGAAGAACCAAAGATATGAATACGTTTTATGCTACTAAAATAACTAAAGTTGCAGAGCCAGCTTTTAAATGTCAGCCAGGCAGTTTGACAATATAAAGCACTGTGTAAGTGCTAAGTATTATAATTACTATTATCAGTATTAACTAAAGCATATAGGTTTACTTGTCCCTCAGTGTAATGAAATCGTTCTTCATACTTTGGGAAACAGATTTTTCATGGTACCAAATCAACCAAGACTCACAGAAAATATTATTACATAAATAGGTAGTAAGTCTAGTGGTTAGAGCAGGGGACAAACATTCTGGGCTCCTATGTTCTATTCTATTCTAGACTGTGACAGTGACTCTGTGAATCTCCTTGGTCAAGTCACTTAACCTTTCATGCCTCTGTTTGCCTATATGTAAAATGGTCATTATAGTCTCACACATTATTGGAGTGTCATGATAATAAAATATAAAGTGTTTTATGGTCTCAGTTGAAAGATCCTGTGAAGGTGCACTGTTTCAACGCTAGAGATGGCACATGCACTTGCAATTAAAAGTAAGTTATGTGAAATTTTAAATACAAATTTTTCTCTCTGGTTTTGTCCCCAGCCCGCCTGCTGTGTGCGTTCATCATCAACTTCTCACTTACATATCTAAGGCTCAAAGACCTGGATGGTTCAACAGATTGATAATAGGATGCAGACCCTTTCACCTTTTGGTGTCCAACATAAATCTTGATAGCAACTGCAAGTTTTTGCCATCTGTCAGCTCTTTCATGGTATATATGAAATGGACTGATTTCCTAGTCCAGTTCCTAACTGAGTGGTGTGCATATCACTAATAGAAGCAACTGGCAACCTTGCTGGTAGCATGAACTGGGACGCCAAGGAATGAACTGGCATAGAACCTGATTATATTTCACCATATGTCCCTCGAAAACAGACTGACATTAGCAGGGAAGTGTAGGGAGGTTTCCACTGCCATTGCCTATGAGATCTGGTGTCTAATACTATCAGTCCATAGCTTTTCAGGTGCATGTATGTCACATTCCAGGCTGCAGTTCAGACCAGTGAGAGGTTGTGTCACCACCTGTCCCGTAACCCTGGGTGCCTGATAATGCTTTGCTGTGGTATATCCCAAGCTGGGCCACTCACAAACAGCCAGACTGCGTGCTGGTCACATCCTGAGTGTCTGTGTATAGCTACAGTCCTGGCCCAGCCGTTCTGCCCCAGAACCTGTCAGCAACACTCCAGTCATACTCTGACTTCCACCAGCCTGGGTTACTACTTACAGGGTGGCCCCAACACACTCCCAGTCCCAAATTTTCCCCAAGAATATGTGTTCTGCACTATCCAGCCCTCTCCTGAGCTGTTCAGATATGAAAGGTCTGTTATCCCTATAAAGGGTCAATATTCAACAGCTTGCTACTTTAACTGGAGTTCCCAAACAGTTCAGTTTAAACACAGGATTGGTTTAGATTAAAATATAAAACAAGTTTATTAACAAAAGAAGATAGGATGTTAAGTGAATTCAAGTATCAGATATTAAAGTCAGAAAGGGTTACAAGAGAAATAAAAATCATTTTCAGCTACTACAAAGCGTTTTAACAAGCTAGACTTGGTTCAAGGAAAAATCCTTACCCCGGGTTCCCAGCAATATGGCTGACCAAATTCTCAGGTCAGGATCTCCCCCCAAGGTCAAAGGGCTGGTTCCTTTGTCTTCTCAGGTGAGTGAGTGAATGAGAGAGATTGGGGTGTTTTTGCCCCCTCAGTTTTATAGTCCACTGAGGGATAGCTCAGGGGTTTGACCATTGGCCTGCTAAACCCAGGGTTGTAAGCTCAATCCTTGAGGGGGCCACTTAGGGATCTGGGGCAAAATCAGTACTTGGTCCTACTAGTGAAGGCAGGGGGCTGGACTCAATGACCTTTCAAGGTCCCTTGCAGCTCTAGGAGATAGAAATTAACGGAGGTATCCTTTCTTTTTCACCCTTCTGAAACGCATTTTCCTGGGGGTTACCCCTAAATAAAGTTCATTCCAGCTGCGAGGACAGAGACATGGAGTCTCGTGGTGAAAGAGGTTCCATGTTGTTTGCTAGAATGCAGAGCAATCTGTTCCTGCCCTGCTTTGTTGCCAAAGAATGGACACTTGACAGGTTATTGCCAATCAACTTTGATGGCACCAGGCTAAGGGCATCAGCTTGTCCTTTGTCTTTGAGGAACCCATTTACCCCCTTCCCAGACTTGGCTGGTAAACACTTTTTAGTCATCATTTCAGCTTATGTTCATAACTCTTAATACACATATCGTACATACATTATGTAAGAATATTGATGATCAGTGAGTTATTCCTTTTAAATGATACCTCACCAGGTATGTTTCGCACAAAGATTATTACAATATGGTGTAGGGTGTGAATATGGTGATACTATTGGTCACAATGTAATCCCTGAGCTCAGACACATGGTCAATAGGAGATTTTATAAAACAGATTATAGGGAAACTAGATATGTAAGAGCAAGAGTGAGCCCTCAGGGCAGAGAACAGTAAATCTCTTTTTCATATCACACAGCCAGGTTAATTTCAAGTATTTTTTCAGGCAAGGTCTATAAATGCACTACTTTGAATGCTACAGTTGGCTTCATGTGATCATTCAGTATTAATTGCTATCCTCAGCGTTTGGTTACTGGTCTAAAACAATGAAAACTGATCCTGCTT